AAAATATTAATGTTTTGGCTTCATAGTATTTTGTGAAGAGTACAGCTTTTAAATAATTATTTCTGGCAATCATCAAATGACGCTGAAACTACTGGGCAAAAGTATAATGAGACACAGGATATGTACCTAGTCTCAAAATATCTTTCTACCAGATACTTATTAATTATAAAAGGAAAAATGATAACTTTGTCATGGAGAAAGTTGGCAGATAGCACCTTAGTTAAGGGGCCAGTATTATTAGTAATTGGACAGATTGACATGTGCCTACTACAGTGCTCTGGGAAGGACACAACATCACTTCTATGATATTCCTATCAAATATGATATAACTATTAATCTTGAAGAAACATCAGGCACACCCATTACTGAAGGATATATTACAAAACGACTGTATAGTACAAAGTACTATTCAAAATATGCTACTTTGAAGTACTATTTGAAAACATACTTCAAAATGTCAGATGTGAATGTTAAGGCAGAGGAAATATCCCAGATTAAAGGAGATTAGAGACGTGAATTTCTGTATTTGGTAATTGTACTGTGGTTATGCAAGAAGAAGATTTTGTTTTTAGGAAATCACACTAAATTATTTAGAAATAAAGGGGCATCATAGTCTGCAACTTAATCTCAAAGGTTTCATATTGTCACTATCATAAGTGCTAACCTGTTTGTTGATATTCACAAACTCTGTCTTCTCTCCTGTTAAGATCAAAGTATTCCTATAAACAATCAAAGCTCAGCTCTTCCACTTATGTTCCGGATTCCATACCCTTTTGCCTACTGCAGTTAATAAATCTTTGTATTGCATTATTAGTCCTTCCTTCATTACTCGAGTTCTCTTACTGGCATGTAAACATGCTTTACATTCATTTGAAAAAAACACCAGTTTCCTTGATCCCATGGTTCCTTGTATCTATTGTCCCATTTCTCAGCTACTCACCACGATAAACTTCTTTAATGATTTGCCTACTTTACTTTTTCTTTCATTTTCTCTTTATTTACTCCAAATGCTCATTCTTCACCACCGCTACAGAGACTGGTCTTTAGCCATCTTGCTAAATTCAGTGTTCTCACTCCTCCCTCTCCATCATTAGACCCAGTTGACACATTGTGAAATATTTTTTTTCTGTTTGGGTTCTTGATATACCCGTCTTTTGGATTTCTTTCTGCCTTACTAGTTAGTTCAGTCCCTGTACTTGCTTGTCTAATTGCTAGAGTACTCATGGACTCCCTCCATTCTCCGTAACCGCTCCCTAGGTTGGTTGATTTTCTCTAGTTCTGTGGCATTCAATGTCAACTAACTACACACTGATGAAGTCCAAATTTATACTTATATCCTTGAGTCTTTCCTGACTTCCAGTTTCAAGCAAGTGAAATCTGAAATCTCCACTTGGATGACCAAATAAATTACAAACTTGATATAACCAAAATTATACCTTCTCCTTCCAGAGACTGCCTTATTGAAGGAAATGGTACCATTACTTGCTTAGACCAAAACCCTAAAAATGATGCTCTGTTGTACAGTTTACCTCATATTCACATTCATTTCATCAGCATATCATGTTAGCTCTACCTTTGAAATAATATCCTGATTTTAACAACTTCTTACCCTCCCCACTGTTGGAATCCCAATCCAAGTCATCATCAGCTCTTGCTTGGACTGTTGAATAGAGTCTAATGTCTGATCTCCCTAGTTTCACTATGACTTCTGCCCTCAAGTCCACAAATCCTCAAGAGTGATCTTTAATGGTAGCAGGCTGTTTACATGACTCTCCTGCTCTCACTTATCCAATAACTTAGATAAAATTCTTATTACTAAGGTTTATATACTGAGGACCTGTGGTGTTCTTCCAGAAAGATAGTTTTCCTTAGACTCTTGTTAGCAAACTTACAGATAAGGTTTATGGATATTTTTGGTTTTTTTCTTACACAGTATTGGTCTAGTTTTTTAAAAAGAAGATGAGGCTGGGTGTGTTGGCTCATGCCTGTAATCCCAGCACTTTGGGAGGCTGAGGTGGGTGGATTGTTTGAGCTTAGGAGTTTGAGACCAGCCTGGACAACATGGCGAGACCCCATCTCTACTAAAAACACACAAAAAAATTAGCCCAGTAAGGTGGTGCATGCCTGTATTCCCAGCTACCTAGGAGGCTGAGGTGGGAGGATTGCTTGAGCCCAGAGCGGGGTGGAGGTTACCGTGAGCTGAGTTTGCATCACTACACTTGAGCCTGGGTGACAGAGCGAGACCCTGTCTCAAAAAAAGGAAAAAGGCAGAGGAGTAGTGGGGGAATAATTTACATTGAAAAAGAAAAACCTAGATTTTTCTTCAAAAAAATTAGGACACCTGACCACAGTGGTCTTGTATTGATTCATAGCCACAACAGGATAAGTATGGCTGACTCCTTTTAAATGAAGCATATGTCTTCCAATTTGCCAGTCTCTACCATTCCCTAGTATATGTTGTAACCAGCCAGATGTATTTAGGAAGATAACCTGCCTTTTCAGTGTATGACTTCTGCCCTGGAATAAGTCATTCGTTGAACACATACTTACTGAATGGAAGTCTGTTTAGCACTCTTCTAAGTCCTGAAGGTAAAGCAGCAAATAAAGCCATGATTTCATGTATTATACCTTTCTTGGGACAGATAGTCAATGTATATGTAATTAAATACATGTATAATATCAAGTGGTGATAAGTGCCATGAAGAAAAGTAAAGTAGGGTAAGGGGATATAAAATGGTGGAGGGTGCTGCCTTAGAATGCACAGGGAAATCTCTATTTGAGGAATTGGCATTAGAACAAAGGCTGGAATATAGTAAGGGATGAAGCCTTGTAAATATTTTAAAGAAAATCCTTTTGATGTGGGAATCCTGAGAGGAGAATGTGTTTGGTATGTCTGAATGACAACAAGAAAGACCTGTCAGACTGCAGTGTGGTGAATGTGGAGGCGTAGGAAGTAAGGTTGGTGAGGGAGACCAGGGCCATGTGATGTAGGGCTGTAGAAGCCATGGTGGGCTTTGGGATTTTACTGTGAGGTAGAAAACTATTGGAAGGTTTTGAATAGGAAGTGACATGGTCTGACTTTTAGACAATCCCTCAGCCTTGCGCTGGTGTATAAATTATAGCAGCGACTAAGGTGGTAGGTGGGGGAGTTGTCTGGAGGTGGTTATGAGAGTGAGTGATAGTGGTGACTTAAACTAGAGATAGCTGTGAAAGGGTGAGAAGTAGTTAGATTAGAATTTGAAGATAAAGCCTACAGTGTTTTCTGATGGATTTGATACAGGATGTAGAAAAATGATAGGAGTCGAGGCCAGGGTTTCTGCTTGAGCAACTGTAGATAGATAATAGTGCCATTTAGTGATATTGTAAACCCTAGGAACGTGGGCATCAGGCTCCTTTTTGGAGATGTAAAATTTGAGAATCATGTTTGATGTTCAAGTAGAGACAAAGTATAAACTTCATCTAGAGGATAAACTTACATAGCTCTGTAATGTGATGAGGTTTGTATTTTTTTTTTTTTTTTTTGGACTCGATCACGTGAGTCATATAAAATACCCCTGAGTTCTTTGAGACTAAGGACATTGACTATTCTCTTACTGTTTATGGGATATAGTACCTCACTTGAATTTGATGCTCACTGTTTCTTTTAAGAATCCAGAAATTTTGCTGTAGCTCCAGCCCCTTTTGAAACTGCCTATTACTTGTTTATTTTGTCATTTTACTCTATTTTTTCTTTTGAGACAGTCTTGCTCTGTTGCCCAGGCTGGAGTGCAATGCCGCGATCTTGGCTCACTGCAAGCTCTGCCTCCCATGTTCAAGTGATTCACCTGCCTCAGCCTCCCAAATAGTTGGGATTACAGGTGCATGCCACCACGCCTGGCCAGTTTTTGTGTATCTTTAGAAGAGACAGGGTTTCACCATATTTGGCAGGCTGGTCTCGAACTCCTGACCTCAGATGATCCACCTGCCTCGGCCTCCCAAAGTGCTGGGACTACAGGCGTGAGCCACCGTGCCCAGCCCTGTCTATGTTTTTACAGGAATTATAGTAGGCAGAAACACTTTTAATGGGGCTTATAACTTGTTAATCAAATCAGCCAGATGATAGTAGTAAATATATTTTCTTCAAAGGGAGTCCAGAAAATCACTTAATTAGTTAATGACTCTGCAGTGCTGGGCGCAGTTGGCTCATGCCTGTAATCCCAGCACTTTGGGAGGCCAGGGCAGGCAGATTGCCTGAGCTCAGAAGTTTGGCTACCAGCCTGGGCAACACGGTGAAACCCCGTCTCTACTAAAATACAAATAATTAGCCTGGCGTGGCGGTGTCCCAGCTGCTCGGGAGGCTGAGACAGGAGAATTGCTTGAACTCAGGAGGTGGAGGTTGCAGTGAGCCAAGATTGTGGCATTGCATTCCAGCGTGGGTGACAGAGTGAGACTCCATCTCAAAAAAAAAAAAAGAAAAGAAAAAATGATTTGGGGAATGGGAGTAATGTGTCTGAATGACTCAACTTTTTCCTTCCAATGGACTATAGTGGAACACGGTTTTGCTATCACTTTGAATAATTCTGTTTGAGAAATCTTAACTGTGTAAGCAGGCACTTAATAATTTCTGAAGTAGTCTTATCTGAATTTTGCAGCCCAGTCATTAAGCAGTAATTATTAGATATTTACTGTTGTGAATGTGAGAATACTTTGTGAGAATTATTACTTTGCAATATTTTCATAAGCATTACCCTTATATGACAAATGAACATATTAAATTGCCTGAGGGTGAGCAATTGAAAGTAAGGACAGAGACAACCTTAGAATATGCTGTTTTAAGTGTGTGCCTTCAAGAAAAGTTTGGGTGTATCTTAACTATATTTGGACAGGCAGAATGACTTTCCATTTCTGTTTCTTTATTAAATAGTGATTTTGTAAGAGAAATATAAAGAAAAGTGTTATGTTTTGCCACTATTCAAGGTTTTGTTACTATTCATGAGCCTGATTATTCCCTTTTTGTACAGGAAGATTTTCAGTCAATGACTTACGGATTTAAAATGGCTAACAGTGTGACAGATCTTCGAGTTACAGGTAAAATTATTTTTAAAGATAATTCACAAGTTTTACATTTTCATTTGTTGCCTTTTAAAACTTATTGTTTCTTTTTCTAGGCATGCTAAAAGATGTGGAGGATGACATGCAAAGAAGAGTAAAGGTATATATGTTTTCTCTTTGGTGTAGAAACAGTATGCCTCTAAATGTCAGGTTAACTTTACCTCATTACTCGTGTGTAGAACCACCTTTCTCCTGTATGTGCTTTGCATGTTTTTGGTAATGAATTTGAACACTGCTAGAGGAGTTTCTGATAAATTAATGTCATTTTCAAGTACAGTCATCCCTCAGTATTTTCAGGGCATTGTTTCCAGGACCCCTGTGGATACCAAAATTCAAGGATGCTCAAGTCTCTTATATAAAATGGGTGATATTTGCGTATAACCTGTTCATGTCTTCCTCTATACTTAAGTCATCACTAGATTACATATAATATCTAATATGTTGTAAATGTTCTGTAAATAGTTATACTTTTAAAATTTATATATTTTAATGTTATTTAAAATTTTTTTTTTCTGAATACTTTCAATCAGCTATTGTTTAAATCCACCCTGTGGATACAGAGAGATGAGTATATTAAAATTTAACCCACTCAGTTCTTTCAACTTTTTGCCAATGTTTTAGATTTTTACTATGCTATTTTAAGAATGGTATTTTTCTCCCACTACTGTTTTGAGTTCCTCAAAGGTAAGGACTGTCTTCTTCACCTTTGTGTCTTTAATAGCTGGTACAGTGTCTGGAACACAGTAGGTGAGCTCAGTAAATGGTGATATCCCACATTTGGTGAAAACCTTCTAGATGACCTTGATGATTTGCTGCTTTTCATAGATATTAAAAA